ATTACCTCCCACCAGGTTCCTCCTACGGCATGTGGGAATTGTGGCAGTTACAGTTCAAGATGAGATCTGGGTGGGGACACAGCCAAGCCATATCGGCATCCATCTATAAAATTCATCCCAAAACATTTGGGGGTGGGGGGCACCGGCAAGCGAGTGACTTGTGCTGATACCGATTGCTTTGCCCACAAAGCAGGGGCCTGTCTCATCATCCCAGGGAAAAGAAGACACGTGGATCTTAGAAGCCATCCGTGTAGTGCTCCCCAAAGCCAACACAGCCACCTGAGCAGCGGGAGCACTCAGTACCAAGGGTTTCACAGTTTGTCACACATGGCCACACGACACTCCCCGTGAGGCAGACAGGTCAAGCAGTAGCCCCATTCAGGGACAAGGAGAAGACGTCTGGATTCCAATTATCCTCACTACAAACCCCTATACAACATGGAATTACACATAAACATGCAGTTCTGCAAGTAACACTTGTGCCTAAAATCCAAAAGACACACCTGTTAAGTGTCCAAAGTAGAACCAAAACTGTCCACTACTGGCCTTCACAACCCCCTTGCTCCCCGAACCCTCTCCTCCCAACAGGAGGTATAGTCATCAGCTTCGGTTCATTCAAAGCATCTCATAAAAGCATACAAACAACTCTATTATCAATACCACGGAAAGAATGATTGTCATTTACATTAAAATGCAATAACAATTTCTACTGGGCTAATGAACCAGGTCTTGGGAGCTGTTTTGTTCTCTCCTTGAACATACTCTGCTTGGGGTTAGGCACTATAAAAAACATGTTTATCTAACGGTAAAACCAACTTTCATCCCTTAACCACAAATTAACTGTGACACATCTGAGAAGCACGCTGAACTGAAGGGAAGCTGGCATTCAAAACCTGTTCACTGTAATCCACAAACCAGGGCTGTGCGTGGATAACTAAGAACTGTTGGCCACATGGAAACTGATTCAACCTGACCACTCAGCTCCCTGGAAGCCCCACGGCTGCCACACGGGACTTGCTGCCTTCACTACTCGCAGACCTGGACAAGATGAGAACGAGTTCCTACAACAACATGGCTCCGTGACTGAGGAGCACCTTCCGCCGCCGCCTCTAGACACACCTGCCCGACGGACGGACTCGGTCAGTGGAGGCACGGCCACGCTATTTCATCTTCCTTAGTAAATGATACATATTCCCAAAGAAACTTATTTTTAAGGCACCGGAAGAATTAAAGCTCACCCCAAGTGAAGAGGTGTGGCCTCTGCTCCTGGTGTTGTCCACTCTCTGTAGGGAAAGAAGGACCCAGAGAGCGAGGTCCCTCCTGTGTGCCTTTTTCCACAGGCTCCAGCTCCTAACTTCCACTCTGTACTAAACTGCCAGAAGCCCCAATCTGTTAGAAAAATTCTCTTAAAAGATAAATTCTTCACTGTATGCTCCCAGCTTTATAATAATCTCCTACTCCCAACTCCCAATAAAACTTTCATTTGAGACTTATGATGGAATGAGTGAGGTTTTACTGCAGAATTTTCCACTGAAACAACGGTCGGCATTTTTCCTCCAATCTCTGGCAGAACAGAAATTTATGCACCTACGAGGTAATAAGGCAAAGCCTTAAATTTAATCAGAAGAAACATTTCATCAGTGGCAAACTGATAAATTATTTAGAAAAGGGCTCAATGGGCCTAAGCAAGGAAATACAGGCCAGATAGTGGCTGGCAGCCTTCAGAAAAAAATATAATCACCATGGTTTCTCTCAATTCCTTTTGAACTGGAATCACCTATATCAAAAGCTAGAAAAATGAAGAAGAACAAGTCCAAGCGTTCCAGCATCGGCAAGGAAATCATTAGAGGCTTCTAGGCACCACTCTGGTGCCACCGATGGGGGTTCGGCTTTCTGCACCTCCTGGGTGGACGCTACCGTTGAGGAAACAGGCATTTCCTACTCTGCTCCCATCCATGACAGCGTGGAGGCAACGACTCCGGCAAACTTTAATGAAAATAACCTCATTTTCATTAAATGACCCAAGGTTTTCCACTCTTGCAATAAAGGACACCGAGAAAGAGAAAACCAGATATATGGGTCTTTCCATCGAAGGCCTGGGAAATTTAATAACGCCCCCATTGTTTTACTGCAGATGGCACATCAGCCTCTTTTTATTACTGCAGAAACTCGAGAGCCCTGTAGAGTGCAATCAAGTGGTGCGTGTTTAGCCTCGCAATGTTTCAAAGGACCCTGATTTACAGTCAGGAACCAGGCCCCTTGCACACAAACATCTGAGCTTGCTAAGTCCCTCCTGTTCTGTGCAAACTCTAGAAGGCAGCATGAGGTCTGCCCCACACTGAGAGCCGCGCTATCTATGCCAGGCCTCCCTCGCTCTGTCCTGTAACCCACGGAAAGCCGTGAGGAGAAGTGTACCACGCGCACCGGGGCAGGTGCTATTATTACCCAGTGCATATGGCACAGCCCCACGCTCACACCAGAGAGCCGGTCAGAGGTATCCTGTGACATCCGACACCTTAGGCTAATTTCTAAAATAGATGAGGCCCACCCATGGTTAGTAACAGGAAATTTTAGAACATTTTTATTGTACTTAAAAATGAATGCAATAGTGTTGGCATTCGAAAAGCAAATATTAGGTATCCATTGTTGTGGTTTTGCTTCCTGAATGCAGACAAAAGATCCCACTCTGTGTGCATGAACGGCTTCTTTCTAGGCTGCGGCGGATACTTTACTCCAGATTCCACTTCATAAACCAGCCCAGATGGGATCCCGCCTGCGCTGGTACCTTTTCCGAAGCATCCTGTAATCTTGACACATTCTGCATCGCACCAGCCCTTCAAACGATCTCTTACTCAGAAAATTATTTTGCACATCCATTCTTGAAATGTGGCCAACTTTAACAAATTCTCCCAGACTACAGATCATCCAGAGGACTGCACCCCTTTGCACCTGTGCTCGCCGTCCGAGTAAAACTGTGCCACTGCCACAGGAAGGGAATCCTCCATCCCGCACTGAGTCTGCACTGTCATCTTTCTGGCTGTCATCACTGACCCACATAGAAAGGTGGCCTTCCCTACCTCATGATGCCTCTTCTCAATGCCATGGAGAGATCTGCTCCTAGACAGAAATTTAGATTAAAAATAACAGATGCCACTTTAGAAGATTCCATTTCCTGTCAACTAGCATCAACGAGCTGGTATCTACCAAGCAAAACTAATAATAAAGCTAGCAGTATATCCACTCTTAGCACTCAAAAAAAAATTGTACATCATAGCAAATGGAATACACATACAATATCTTGAAATATTAAACACATGTATTCTGAAAGGCTATATTTCCTTATCCAATAATTCTTGGAAAAGAAGAAACAAGTTATAATGGCAGAGACTCAGTCTAGAAAGAACACAATTGGTAGATCTGAATTTATTGGGTTGCATTCTTTTTTAAACAAATGTATCTAGTAAAGCGCAAAGGTACAAAGCCAAACCCAGGAGATGGGCAGAAGTAACCAGAAAGGCATTCCTCTGAATTCCCATGGTGTTGGTTAATGACACGCCATATACCAACACGGCCATGTCTTCCAATACTGCCACTCTGCCCCACACTCCTCCTGTAAGCGCCCATCTCACCATGCTGAGACCCTAGGGTACCTTCAAAGTCTTCAAAGAAGCTATTTTCTACAGAAAACACAAGGCATCTCGACTACATTTTTACAGGACTCCGCCATCCAAATCTCTCTCCAGTCCTCATCTCATCCCCAAACGCACTGCGCTCTCAAGAAAAAGGCTATGGCATGTTTACATAAACCACCAAGAGGCAACGAATTTGAGAGAGGAAAAAGTAAAGCCATTAGGCATCAATAAAAAACCCATGAAGACACTGCCTTCTAAAGAACAAAAGTCTGCTGTCATTGACTTGACAAGTCGGCAACGCAAAGCACAAAGGTACACCCTAAGACACAGAGATGCTTCCTAACAGTTAGCTCACGACTGGAAGCAACAGCAGAAATGACCTAAGGGCATTTTTAAAGGCAGGAAAAAAATCATTTTTGGCTATTCTCTTACTCTAAGAATGTAAATAATGCATAAGGAATCCCTAAATCCCAGATTATGTGGATAAATGATCCACAAATCAAAATTCCAACCAAATAAGTGTTCAAAAGGTTCCATAAATCATGTGTTTCCATGAGGCTTACATCAAAAAGGGGAGAGTAAAACTCGCAGGAGACGTGCAGGTAAGGCACCTTCTCAACCTGCGTTCTTCATGATGTTCCTTTAGGTAACTCGAGTTCCCACCACGCAAAGCTGAATACAGGGCACCTCCATAAGCACCCAGATTCCTAGTTTTTTAATTAAATTTATTAAATCTCCAAACCAGTTAATAAGAAATGCTAAAGGTCTTTGTGTGGATTACAAGTAACCTAAGATCTTAAAGGCAATTTAACACAGTTATATTCTATGCCACTTTTCTTTAAAAAAAAAAAAAACTGTAAGATATAAGCAAAAAAAAAAACCCACACACACTAATTGGTAACTGGCTCCCTAAAAAGAACCTTATCTTTTGAATCAAAGACAAAGTGTATAATAGGTGTCATCTTTTGAATGTTGGGTGCTTTTTGCACAACTATTTGAAAACTGAAGACACGAGGAATAGCATTAACTAGTTGAGGTTAAAGAAAAATTACTGAAAATACATTTCCTGAGAAAAATTAAAACCATGGTTAAGAGCAACAAGAATACTTTTTCTTTTCTAAAAATCTGGAACAAACTTAAGCAAAATAAGTTGGACTGTCCAATGCAAGACTCACAATAATGTGTACGTCGTCAAGACAATACAGCCACCAACAGCCAGCAGGCAGAACGCAGGCCCACGAAACACAGTGCGCAGGCGCCATGCCGCACAAGGGCAAGGTGTGCATGGAATTCTCACTTGGATCCAAAGAGCGTTGGAAACCAAGGAACTGGAGTTTCCCTGTAAGAAGGAAAGTGAAGCACGCTTACCCTTGGCTGCCAGTTCTCGTACTGCTTCTGTAAATTTGCACCGATGGTTTCCAGAGCTTTCTGAGGACCCATCGACAGAGGATCTGAGGAAGCAATGGAAAAGAGAAAGTTCTTTATGTCTGTGTTTCCTCCTCTGCTAGGCCTCTCTTCCACAGTTTCTCCTTATATAACGCACTGCAAAGTCACCTTTGACTAAAAGCCACACAACGCTTAAGGTTGATCAGTGTTAACCAGATTTACAGAACAGCTAAGGTGCTCAAACAAGCGGACACGCCGTGAAAGCCAGTGTTTTAACATCACAGGCAAGTGACTGCTGTTCTTCTACCCACATTCATTTGTATTTCGGCACCTGCAGCTTTCCCACACTTGCACTGTTTTATTCTCAGGCTCCCGCTCAGGCTTTCTATGAGAAGGCAGCTCTGCAGTGACAGAATATGCTTCCTCCTGTTCAAACTATGGCTCTCATTGGTACAGGAAAAGGAGGAGAGAAAAAGACAAGGAAGTGACATTTTTTAATTAATTTTCATCCGCACTCAGTTTTCCCACAAAAAAAAATCTGTTTCACAAACATACATTCATGTCCAGGATTTACCCGTTTATTCCAGGAGTGGGCTCCAGAGCAATTACCTCTAAATCAGCAGTTCTCAAACTTGTTTGGTCTCAGGACCCCTTAGCGCTCTAAAATTATTGAAAACCCCAAAGAGCCCTGATTTATGTTGTTGTATCTATCAATATCTACTCTACGTGAAATTCAGATAAGATTTTTAAAATATTTTTCTTCATTTTAAAAACAATAACAAACTCATTATATTTTAACATATTTATTATAAAAATAACTATTTTTTCCAAAAAAGTTTAGTGAGAAGAGCAGCATTTTTGTACATTTTTGCGAATTTCTGGAATATGTGGTTTGGTCGAGGATGGGTGACTCTCATCCATTTTTGCATTCGCCTGTGGCAATTCACGGTTTCAGTGACTGCACACGTGGAAACCCCTACCTCACACACATATCTGTCATTAGAAAACAGAAGAGTATCTTAAAATGCTATTTTACATAATCATGACTCTTTTTGTTTGATACTACACCAAAAATTATCAAGTGGTAATTTCCTTCAGATTATGAGATGTACTATCTGAAACCACATCGACGAACTTTTTATATGCTATCACATTAAAATTAACTGCTCTTTGCTGCAACTTGAGTGGATTTTTTACCCATATATTATTTTGTACCATCATGCATTGACCATTTGGAAAATATCGGCTCATTGAACTATAAGATCTTATATATTTCATTCTCCAATATTTTTTTAAAAATCCACACTCATTAACATTATCATGATCTCATCAGAAACGTCTTAAGTACTAAGAAGTTGCCAGGCTCAGCCAGGTGTGGTGGCTCACCCCATAATCCCAGCACTTTGAGAGGCCAAGGTGGGTGGATCACCTGAGGTCAGGAGTTCAAGACCAGCCTGACCAACACGGTGAAACTCCGTCTCTTCTAAAAATACAAAAATCAGCCGGGCGTGGTGATGGGCACCTGTAATCCCAGCAACTCAGGAGGCTGAGACAGGAGAATCGCTTGAACCCGGGAGGCAGAGGTTGCAGTAAGCCGAGATCGCACCACTGTACTCCAGCCTGGGTGACAGAGTGAGACTCCGTCTCAAAAACAACCACCACCACCACCACAACAACAAAAAAGTTGCCAGGCTCATAGTGGTAGGTATAAGGTTTCCAAATTTTATTTTTTTTATTTGAAATCTCCAATTTTATCAATGGAAACAAACACGGTCAGTTGCTTTCCTCAACGTGACAGGTTCATGTCATTCATTTTCCAGAAAACGTATGCCAACTACTCCAGGTCTCTCTGTTGGGGGTAAAATGCTATCAAACAGCACCACATGCTACAGAGAAATGCTGCGTGAAAGCAAGAGCCAATCAATGCAGCAAATTTTGTTAGTGTCTTAAGAAATTCCCGTAGTCACCCCTACCTTCAGCAACTACCCGCCCATCAGTTGGCAGCCATCCACATGAGGCAGGACCTTCTGTCAGCCAATTAAATGCTAAAAGATTATGACTCACTAAGGCTCAAGTGATCATTAACATTTTTCAGCAGCTTTTAAATGAAAGTGTGTATGTTCTTTTGGACACAATGCTACAGCACACTTCACGGACTACAGTACAGTGTAAAGGTAACTTTTATATGTACCGACAGCAAAAATGTTCACGTGGCCCGCTTACTGCAGTCGTCTAGAGCCAAACCCGCAGTATCACTGAGAGGCACCTGTATAGTTTTTGGCACTATTTAATTTTTTTTTTTTTAGCTATATGTATGCTGCTCTGATAAAAAAAATTAAAAAAAATAATAATAAATAAATAAATATCATGACATTAATAAGATTCTACAACTGGAAAGGGCCTTCGCCCATAGATAGGTCAATGTCATCAAGGGCTTTTCAAAACAGAGATGCCAGGCCCTAACCTTCTGGAAAGTCTAATTCAATGGTTCTAATTCAATGGACACCTCTGGCTGAAAAAAGCTTGGTAAAAATCAGGTAATATTTAACTTCTCTGCAAGAATTGTGGTAAATTTGTTATAATCCGTAATCCGTGACTTCAGAAATTACATACTGGTCTTCATTTCTCTCAGGAACAAGGTTCTAAGGTCTCAAAAAAAATCACAGTGATCCAAATCAACTGTGCTGTGGTCGGACCCACAAGTTAGGAATGGATTGGGATCTGAAAAATGAAAAACTGGGGCCACGAAGTGCATAAACAAAGCAAAGGAAAGCAAAAAATAGCTTTAAGAAACAGATGCCAAAGAGCAGGCCTTGCCACATGCATGGAGGAGCAAAGCAAGTGCACAGGGCTGGCCGGAAGGCACTGAGCGCAGAGGGCTGGCCGGAAGGCACTGAGCGCAGAGGGCTGGCCGGAAGGCACTGAGCCACTGAGCGAGAGTGGGCTGGCCGGAAGGCACTGGAGCACACAGGGGCTGGCCGGAAGGCACTGAGCGCACAGGGGCTGGCCGGAAGGCACTGGAGCGCACAGGCTGGCCGGAAGGCACTGAGCGCACAGGGCTGGCCGGAAGGCACTGAGCGCAGAGGGCTGGCTGGAAGGCACTGAGTTCAGTCACCCATACTTAACTGCGGCAGCCAGCATGGTCGCAGCCCGCGGCTGTCATCTATGGTAAGAAAACAGAAATGGTCTCCTCCGCACAGAGATAAAAGACCGATCCATGCATTACGATGGTCAGCGGTAGCTCACACTATGCATGGTCTCCAGTGAACCACGGACAGAGGGAGAAGGGAGGGAGTTCCCATTCAAGGAATACCCCCTCCTTGGATTTCACCCCTTGGAAAGTCCAGGCCCTTCTCCCATCCCACCCTCTCCCCAGTGTTGACAGGAGGCAGCCACTGTGGCACTTCCCTGCATCCCTCACAACATCCTGCAGAGACACGGGGCCCTCGTTAGTACAGGCAGCCTGGAAGGGGCCCCACTCTCCCTGCCCTGACTCAGGTCAGGACACCTGCCCACCCAGGAGGGGTGAAGCCACTGCCGGCTGCTCACCAGGCTGTGACCAGCTACATGGCGCTATAACCTCCTATCCACTGGGAATCCCTGTGGTTCGTTAATTGCATGGTTCTCTCCCAAGAATAGGACACTGGATAGGAGAGCTGAAATGAGAGGCAGAGGAAAAGACAGGAAAGAGTGAGGTCAAATAAAACGATGCATTTAGCATTTGATTAAGTATAATGTAAATAAACTAAAATTACATTCCCACATGGATATTGCTGACAATAGTATCAGTCTGATGTGGGGTGAGGTGGACAGATCATAAACTTAAAACTGTAGTTGTGTCTCTAATTCCTTTTGAGTTTCAATTGAAGGGGAACCTGGGAAAGAACTAATGAAACTTTAGCGGCGAGTGAGTGTGTGGGTAACTTGATGAATGATGTGGATGGGTAGGTGGATGGAAAAGGAGACGGTAATTCGTATTTGTATAAAATGTTTAGCTCTTTACAAATTTTCCTATTTGCAAGATTTTCAGCATAACTCCTCTGAATTTCAAGACACTTAGAACTTTACACTGAAAGGAACTTGGTCCAACCCACCTCATGGGACAGAAGGGTAAGCTGAAGTTAAAGCAGTCAGATGACTTGGTCAAAGGTTACTGACAGTGCTGGTATTCAGCCAGCCTGAAGGGGTGCAGTTTTTTCTTTTTAAACCTCTCCATCTTCTTCCTATGCACCCAGTTTGATTACCCGTCCTATCCATTTCACCTTCCAAAGAGCTGGCGCTCCACCATCCACTGCTAATGAGTTCACCCAGTCCGCAGCACTTCACGACACTACTGAGACTATCCCACCTCCCAGCTGGATTCCTGAATCTGACCCAATGACTCCAAAGAGGGTAGTGCCCCAGGCACGGCCAGGGCCACCACTGACCTAGTCTTTCTCTTCTCGGTCCACCCTGAAGATGGGCGCTGGCCGACCCCCCCCCACCGAAGCCCACAGTGCCGGCTGTGTGCTCCATGTAGATGGAAAGCTGTCGAGAGTGGAGACCCAGCGGTGGGGCTGGGAGAGGGGACCCGTAGGTGACAAGATTAGGCCTCTGGGCCACTGGTCATGTTGTTCCTCAAGCTGGAGTCCATAGGCATGATCTGTTTAGGATACACTTGGGTTAGGTGCGGTTTCCTATGTGTGCTATCTTTTCCTTCAATGAAAAGTTTGCACTGAAAGCCCTGTCCAGCACTCACTGCTCAGAGAATCTTTGTAGCTCTTTGTACCTTGTATTTAGTAGACACTTAATAAACATTTGTTAATTGACTTATTAACTGAGTGCTGCCTACTAAATGAAGTGCAAATTCTCTGTGGCTTTCAAGGACTCTGTCACTCATTAGTTGTGTAGCCTTAAACAACTCATTTTTGACTGACAAAATACATAATGGCAAAAGGGCTACTTTGAAATTAGAAATGGTTTTTAATGAGTCTTTGTTCTCCTAACCATAATGCTGTCCCTGTCTGTTTTGTAATAATCAGTCCTGTACACAGTGAGAGGTGTGTAGATCTTCCTCAGCTCAGGG